CCCCAAAACCCCAAAACCCCAAAACCCCGTTTCCTTAATTGTATATTGACTTATAAAATAAAAAAACTAATATGGGTAAGCTTGCATAATAGAATATAACAATACAACATGAGCACTTGATGATATCATAACTACAGAAACCAGCAGAATATGCTTAAAAAATACTTAATAAAATTAAGAGTTGAAAAGACAGTTTAATATTTTCTTCTTTCCTCTGAATAGGAGTAGAGACTAATTTTTATATGTTAGATATTAAAGCCCAATGTATCTGTAACTTACATCTATATAATTTGGAGTAAAAATAGTAGAGAGCAAAAGTAGGAACTGAATTATCTGCTAAGAATGAGTCTGACATTAATGACACCATTCTTGTTTGGGTGGAAATCCAAAAGAAGTTTTGAAATATTTGCCATTATAAATGAATTGAAACTAAAAGGAATCTCGACTATTGGGATTTTATGATAAAACTAATTTGGATTGAATCCTTTTGGTCGAGAGTAAAGATAAGATTTTCACAGAGGAAATTGTTAATTTTATCTTTGCTAAGAATTTTGCCAATATGCAGCAATAGAAGGTATATAATTCTTTAAGTTTCTGCCTTCGTTCTATTTCATAAGTCAAGTAGAATTGATTTATAAAGGAAACCTCACCAAAGGAAACATTATGTATGTTTTAGCTTATTCTCAAATCTAGCTAAAACTAAGGAATTATTTGTAGTTTAATTTTTTGAGTTCTAGAGGTATTAACACAGCTCACTTCTCAATGAGGCTTGTTGTATTAATGTAAAAGTACTAGACAACCAAACTATTCAGTCATTTTAAATGACAAAATTTTAAATATTTTTGGTTATGAATAAAATAATTTCTTCAAAATATCACTAACTTACAATGTAGATATTCAAGGAGGCCAAAGAGATGAAGTTGTTGTAACACAAGAAATCAACGAGGAGACTAAATTGGTAGTCAAAAATGAAGAGAGAAAGAATAAGATAGAGGAAGAAAGTGAGGATAAAAACATGTTCATTAAGGTAAATCATTACATATAAAGTTATAGCTCCTTTGATCTAAAACGCAACTATGCTCTCACAAGAACGGATGTATCAAGAACTCTTTCAAAGGCCTCTTAAGAAACTTTGCTATCGGCTTCGGCCTCAATGCTGCCAAAATCATTTTGTTCGGCTTGCTCAGACCAGCCAAGTTCACTCGGAACTTTACTTGGAAGAACTTGCTGAGCTGCGCCAGACTGGGAGCATTTCTGGGGTTGTGGAACTTCAGTTACAAAGCATTGTTGTGCATGGGCAGAAGGCTGTTTAAGAGCGACAAGATCAGTTCAGTGGTGGCAGGTGCCATTTCAGCGCTTTCGCTAGCCATTGAAGAGGAAGGGAGAAGAGAGACCATTGCATTATACATATTCGCTAGAAGCACACATGCAATGGCACTTAAGTTAGAGAATGATGGAATAACAAAAAATCCAGATAAAGGAGAAGTGATTTTTTTCTGTCTTGGAACAGCTCTTTTGTTATACATTGCTAAATACCATGTTGGTAATTAATATTCTATAATTTATAGAAATACTTAGCGACAGTCTGCACAAGCTATTGTTTGGAATGATTAAGCAGAAGAACAATGATAAAATCTCAAGGATGATATCCTATTACAAAAGAAACAAGGATCTTGATGGGAATCTAGATTTTAACATTCCAAACTGGTTGAAACAAGTTTATCCTTCTAAAAATATTTAGTTCTAAACTCTCAATCCATTACTATCAAAAGGGGTTTTGGGGTTTTGGGGTTTTGGGGG